GACCGACTCTATGATTATGTGACTACACTACTCATAGAGCCGTTATGTTGATGGATTTTATTTTCCTTATGTTCTGTACGCCTTCCAAGGCGAATTTCCATGCATTGTACTACAAAGTTTATCATTAATGAAATGGTTCTATGTTTTATTTGTGATGTTGTTATCTGCTATGTGTTCTTTTTTCATTGTTTCATGATATTGTATGAATTCACTTATACGCATAACCAAACCATCAAAACTGCTATATGCCAAAGGAAACTCGAAACCACGAACCACTACGTACTCACCAAGAGATGACCTAATTTTATATAAGAACTCTAGAACTGATAGGTACCTTTCTCTTTGATAATTTCTTTTAAGATGACTATTGTTTAGGGCTATCAACAACACCGTCATCTCCGCTACCATAGTGTAATAAACAAAGCACCATTGAAGGCCCTTCATCATCTTCCGCTACCATTACTTCCTTGAGTGAAAATTTCGAACTCGGTGGGAGAGGAAATGAGTCGCCAATAAGAAATATGAAATCATAAAATCAGATGGGAAGAAATCTGCGAAAAGAGTTGAAGTCGTTTGAGATACCGATGTAAATCCTTAGAAATCTCAATCGAGAAGAGAATGGAGAGCCGCTTCTTTTTTTGGCGCTGAATCGTTTCACCACCGGTCGATCACCACGAAAACAGGAGATTTGGAAGCTTAAAATAAAATAAAACCCTACACATATTTGTACTCTGCAATCATCGGATCTAGGGCAGAAGTAGATGGACGATGGGAAGTAGAGCAGATGTGAAAATAACCCCCAATCGCTAGTAGGCTCTGGAATCGTTAGCTTGTGAAAATTTTGTGAGGCAGTGGGTGTGGGTGAGAGGTGGAGACGATGTAGGGTAGATATGAGAGTCATATGGAAATGAATGTAGGAGAAGAAGGCGGGTGTTTAAAAAATTTGGGGATTTCATTTTCCCTCTTAGAGATGCGCGTTTCTTAAAAAAAATATAAAACGACATTCACAGAGGACGCACGAGTGCCCTCCGTGTTTTTAATTTTTTTACATGAGACACTATTTAAGGGCACACAATAATGCGTGACCTAAATCCTTAAATTTTTTGAATAGACGACACTCTTTTAATGTCACTCTCCTTTGCGTAACATAAATCACCGAGTGTCGTGGTTTGCACGTCGTAAAAGGGTCGTTTTCTTGTAGTGTCATATAGGATTTATAACTAGTATACAAATAGATTTACTACAGGTTTAGCAATTTTTACTAAACATATTGCTTCAAATGACTTTCTTAAACGTTTTTACATGATTAAAGCTCTTTATCAAACTGTCTTACACATTGTAAGCTTCCTTTCAAACTCGGTTACAAAGGTATTTTCAAACAGTGATTTTCCGTGTACTTAAACTGTCTTATCAAACAAAATACTTTCAATCGTTTTATAAACTGACATCAAGTCACAAATTCTTTATTAGACTTTTCAACGGTTTTTTAACAAACTTCTTTTATGCTTTTATATTATAAATTGAATGCCTCTATATGTATAGTTATATAAGAAATGTTTAAAAGACTTAGGAAGGCTATCCACCCTATTTCCTTTTCCTCGATTTAGATGTGGTCTGGTGGGATATCGGGTATCCGTCCGAAGGTCGTTTAAATATTAGTTATATATCATGTGTACATATATAGTCATAAATGTTCCATCAGTTAATTCTGTTCTGACGCTCTTGAGATGAAGGGTGTATAAATCTACTTGGACACTCATCAATTACATTCTAGTAAACTATTATAGGAATAGTTTCAAGGATATAAAACATTATTCCTATTACAAGAAATTACACCAGAGTCAGTTCATTCATGAGTCTAGACTACATGCTATATGAAGGGATACTCTTACAGAGATTCCTCTTACATGGATATATTTATAGGGATACTCTAACATAGATACGCTTACATTAGTACGTTTACATGAATACTTTACATGAATACTTTTACATGAATACTTACACATGAATACTTTTACATAGATATTATATGGCAAATTACTATTACATATTATACGTCTAGATACTGTTATATAGTTCTCCTTTCTATCTTTACCTTGTGATACAATCACATCATCGACGAAATAGATTGGACTTTATATCCTAGTACCAAAGGATACTTTACGGGATTAACCATTCATAGAATCTCTATTAGCTACAGAGGTAAATGCACATCCACGGATGTCTTCGGTTGATACCATTACAGGTATACTTTAAGGGATTAACTATTCCTACACCCAACTGTTAGCAACAGAGGTAAATGTACATCTACGGATGCCTAAAGTTAACACTGTTAGTTATCCTAGTATAAAGGGATAATACGTAAGTTAGTTATATTATTACCATTATCTTGTGACTCATCCACATAACCAATGAGGTGAATCGTATTTGAATATACTAGTACCAAAGGATACAACTTCTTATATTAATAATAATTGTCAAACAGTCGGGTATTGGTAGAAGACTACTTTCAAAACAATCGGGTCTTGGTAGAAGGCTACTTTCAAAACAGTTGGGTCTTGGTAAAAGACTACTTTCAAAACAACTAGGTCTTGGTAGAAGATTTCATCTATACTAATAGAAACCATAGGGATTTCTAGGGTTTACCAAACGGTTTCGATTTCTTACAAACATTTCCACACTTATACGAACTTTCTTTCAGAACAATATCAAGTCTTTCATTACAAGTTTTACAAATCAAAAACACATTAATATTTATGAATTCACCAGCTTTTTGGCTGATACTCGCTTTCAAAATAACTTGTATTCTCAGGTCGCAAATAGACAGGTACGACGACCAGGTTTTGTGAAGACGGAGCAGTCCAGACGCGTCTTGTTTTCTGATTATTCATTTTATTGTTGTATATTATGAAAGAACACACATGTACTTGAAACTTATACTATTAATGCAATGGATGATGTTGTTGCTGTTTACTACTCTACATTGTTGTGATACATTACATGACGTCCTCCGCCTCAGAACGTTTCCGCCGTTCTCGGTTTTGGGGTGTGACAAATTTGAGGGAACACAATACAATTTAAGAGATACGGTGGCTCGTAGTATTGTTAAAGTGTGCCATAGGGCCCGTACGACGATCTATTTGGAGATGTGGCGCTCGAGGGAAAAAACAGAAAGAGCAGCGAAGGGGTCTTTCCTCGCTTTTTTTTATATATATTTTTATTTTTTTTTTATTTTATAGATCAGTTCAGTCACGATCGGAGAATTGGGCGAGGCAGTGTTTGGGGGAATAACTTTACGTGAGGGTGTACTCACCGACACATTGATGGAGGGATGAATTGAAAGAAGCCCAATATCTATTTAAAAAGAAGTTAGGGAATAAACACACATAAGCTCAAACCATAGGGACCATTAGTGTAAATTCCTCTGATCAATAGCTCACAAAAGAAAAGATAAAAGAAATTTAAAAGCGTATGATAGTTTTTTAATATAAGAGTGTGCGACCAAACACGATCAAAATTGAAGCTCAAGTGACCATCCGTGATAATAAATTTATTTAGGGAAAATTGATATTTTAAAAAATCACAACCAAGTTTTTTCTTTTTACTTTAATTAAAAAAAAAACCCTTTTGGAGTATCCTCTTGGGAATATGACTTATCAAGGTAATTAACTTTTCGGTATGTTCACATCTGGGTAACTATTTTTTTTTGTACATATGTAGGTAACAAACTTTTTGGAAGTGTTCACATATGACCATTATGACCTGCTATAGCAGGTTAAATCCTAGATGTGAACCCTCTCAACAAGTTTGTTACCTAGATGTGTACAAAAAAAATAGTTACCCAAATATGAACAAAACGAAAAGTAAAAATTAAATTACATGAATGGTCCCTGTGGTTTGGGGAATTTGTGGTTTTGGTTGCTAACTTATTTTTTTAACTTAAATGGTGCCTACTGTTTATTTTTGTTGCGCGTTTGGTCCCGTCTTACCTAAAAATACTATTGTGCCCTTATTAATTTATTTTTTTAATTAATATTCTTATCTATGTATTTATTTTTTACATATTCAAAAAAATTAATAGACCACACATATTTGTATCTCCTCTCCATCTTCTATTTCTTTTCCATCTTTAGTAACATCGATGTCTTCACCGTCCTTTTTTTTTTTGGTACTTCAACTCTAGCGAACCAACACCATAACATACTGTCTCTTCATCTTTAGTGGGTTGTGGTGCTGATTCGACGGAGTTGAAGGACCGAAAAAAGAAGTGATGATGAAGACGTCGATATCACTAAAGATGAAAAATAAATAGAAGTTGAGAAGGATGAAAGATGGGATGGTGATGAGATACAGATATGTGGGGTCTACTAATTTTTCTTAAACATATAAAGCATAAGTACATAAACAAGAAAATTAATTAAAAAAAATTACCAAGGGCACAATAGTCTTTTTAGGTAAGACAGAGATCAAGTTCGTAACAAAATTAAATAGTAGGGACCATCCGAGTTAAAAAATTAAATTAATTAAAAAATAAATAGTAGGGATTATCCGAGGAGATACAAATATGTGTGATTTATTAATTTTTTTTTAAATATGTAAAAAATAAATACATAGATAAGAAAATTAATTAAAAAAATAAATTAATAAGGGCACAAAAGTATTTTTAGGTAAAACGGTGACCAAACACGCAACAAAAATAAACAGTAGGGGACCATTTAAGTTAAAAAAAATAAGTTAGCGACCAAAACCACAAATTCCCCCAAATCACAGGGACCATTCATGTATTTTAATTTTTACTTTTCGTTTTTCATATTTGGGTAACTATTTTTTTTTGTACACATCTAGGTAACAAACTTGTTGAAAGCGTTCACATCTAAGATTTAACCTGCTATAACAGGTCATAATGATCATATCTGAATACTTCCACAAAGTTTGTTCCGTAAAAAAAAAAAAAAGGATAATTACAAATGTGAAATACCAAAAAGTTAATAACATGATAAGTCATATTCCCTATACTCTTTTACAAAAACTGTCGTTTATTCGCTCTCCAGCGAGACGAAAACAGCGCCCTCTTTGAAAACCCTAATTTTGACTGATCAGAAGAATTCTCCGATGGAGTCCGAAGGGAGCGAAACAAGTCGGAAACGTAAAGCTAATGATCTTAATCAGAGTTAGTATCTCTCTTGTTCAACCTCGATACCAGGAGATGGGAGATGGTATTGTATTGATTGTAGTTTAATTTCAACTTTTGGTTGTTTCAGAGTCTCCTTTGGTTCTTTCAGAGTGTCCTTTGGTTGTTTCGGAGACTCTTGCTGAGTTCTTTGCGGAGAGTAAGAACATTGATGGGTTTGACAACGTATTGCGTAATCTCGTATATGTTTTGTTATGAATGATTGAGTATAACTTGACTTGATGTGATCTATTACGAGATACTATAAAACATCAAAGGCAATTAGTTGTTGTTATGTATTTAACGTTTTATATGTTGTATTTGAGTTTCAGCCTGGAAAATCGCTTCTGAGTACGGTGAGAGAACTTGTTGAAAATGCACTTGATTCTGCAGAGTCCATTGGGGAGCTTCCAAGGGTCGAAGTAACAATGTAAGTGTTAATAATAGTATGTGTTATAGTTGTATTTTTATCATATTGTTTTTTGTATGTATCACAGTGAGGAGATTAATAGAAGCATGATTGATGACGATGTTGAGACAGTAAAGGATAGTGAGGTTTGTATACACAGATTTGAAACACTAAATTCTATTTAAACTTTTACATAAGTCATTTTTCTTGTTATTATCTTATCAGAAACGGCTTGGCAAAAATTCAGCAATTGGGAAGAAAACTGCTGCAAAACCCATCAAGGGCCCCTCAGGTTATTACAGGGTGACTTGTAAGGTGTGAAGATAACATAATATTTTCCATTTCAAACCTTGTGTTGCTGTATTAGTTTCATCTTTAATTTACTCCCATATATTATCATACATTTTGAAATTTGTATGTAGGATAATGGAAAAGGAATGCCCCATGATGCTATCCCGAATATGTTTGGACGAGGTTTAGTTATCCAATAAGTTGTAGTTTAAGTTTCTTTCTATAGCATTGTCATGTTACTCTTTCCAGCTAACATATAAAGATGATGCAGTTTTATTGAGGAAAAAGTATGGGGTGAAGCAAACACGTGGAAAATTCGGACTTGGTGGTGCAAAAATGGTATAATATATTTGTTTGGTTCTTTCAATCTAACTTTTATATGTCATGGTGATGATGTATATTTGTGTCTTTCAGGTATCAATATGGTCAAAGATGAGTACAGGAGAACCTATTGAGATATGCTCATCGATGAAGAATGAAAGTTACGCTACGCGCTGCATTCTGGATGTAGACATTTATAGGTATTGTTCTTAAATGTTATTTTTTTGACTTAAATATTATAATCTTTTGATTGAATTTTTTTTGATGATCAGAAACACTCCCCATATCCATTTACATGAAAAGATAGGTGGCATGGAGAATTGGCATGGAGCTGAGATCAAAGTTGTAATTGAGGGAAACTGGACAGCATACGGTGTATGTAAATGATGTATCATTTTTGTTGAATGTAATTATCTCTTAAATTAACATATATATATATATATATATATATATATATATATATATATATGTATGTATATGATTTATGTATGCAGTCGAAGATATTGGAGTATATGCGCCAAATGGCAGTTATTACTCCTTATGCAGAGTTCAAGTTTCGATTTGTTGCAGTTACACTAGAGTGAGTGAGTGAGTAGAGTCTTATTTTTTTATAAAAACATAATTTCACATCTTGTTTGTTGATTAATGATTGTTTTTCTGTAGTGAAAATGGTGTGGTGGAAAAAAGTTATCCAAGATTGATAGAGGAAATGCCTCCGGTTCCTGTAGAAACAAAGTACCATCCATCAGCTGTGGATTCGCTGCATATCATCCAACGCATGATTGCTCAAACTAAAAATCACAATCTTCTGGAGTTTCTTCAGCATGAATTTGTTAACATTTCCAATGATCAAGCTCAAAGATTAATCGGTATGTATAATGTATCAAATAATTTTAGTTTTTTAAAAGTTAATCTTTATCATGATATGATGTTTTATTTATACAGCAAAAATGGGTCCGGATGTCACCTCCGAAACACAAGTCAACTCTTTGACTCTCCTACAAATTGCTTACATGCATCACTTGTTTCAACATACCAAATTTGATGATCCTAGTGGCAATGTATGATATTTTTTCCTCCTCTAAACATATATCTATCTAAGAGCTTCACCCATTAAGATCATAAAAATATAACTTAATGCTGCTTCTTTCTAGTGTCTTGCACCTTTAGGAGATGAATCCTTTTGCGAGGGTATATATAAGGTGCTGCAGCCGAAGATGGTTGCAACATACACTGCAAAAAGGTAAAAATCCATTCCATCCATATCTTAAAAATACACTCATAATGTATTAAAAAATGGCTACATTTCAGTGCTCAAGTATATCAAGGACACCCGTTCATTGTAGAAGCTGGAGTTAGTCTGGGAGGAAAAGTCTTGAAGCAGGTGGGTTGAGTGAGTTTGTTTCTGTGTGTGTGATTTTGTGTAAAATCACACTAATTAATAATAATAATAATAATAAGTAAAAAGATTTTCACGTTTGAAAATTGTAGGGTATAAATATCTTCCGGTTTGCAAACCGTGTTCCGTTGCTGTTTGAGCAAGATGCTGATGTTGTCACCACAACTGCCATGAAGAGAATCAAGTAATGGAGTATATAATCTTCACTTTTACTAGCAATTTTTTAATTTGTTGTTATGGAATTTTCAGGTGGGAAAGATACAAAATTTTTAAGAAGCAGGAAAAAATTGGCGTTTATGTTAACATTGTAAGCACAAAAATTCCATTCAAAGGGTCTGGAATGGAGTATATTGGAGATGACATAAGCAAGATTATTGCTAAGGCTGTCAAGGTCTATTCTCAATTTTATTTTTATTTTTAATACAATATAATAATGTTAATTTTTATTTTGCTTCCTTATTAGGCTAATAATAATAATGTCCTGTATGTTATTTTCTAGACTTGTCTTGAAGATTGCTGCAACCAGCTCAGGTCTCTAGACCTTAAAAGAAATATGAGTTTGTAAGTTGATCATCTTTTATATCTGTGAGATACTAATAACTTATGTTTTTTTTTTTTTTTTTTTTCTCTCTCTCTCAAGTTGATAATAGTTTATGTTTTTATATTGGCTGTAGCTACATTGATCAAGCTGCAACTGCTTGTGCTAGCATAACGGAGATTGGCCGAGATTTGAATGGTCCAGATACTAAAGTATGGACAAAAGAAGAGCTGGTTCGAGATTTTCGTGAGGATTGTAAAAAGGTATCTAAATATTTTAAAGTTTTGCTTTGCTTTAATAATTATTTCTGAATTTGATTCTTGTTTCTTTGTGTTAGGCGGGATTAATAACAGATTAGATGGCAATGGAATCGACGCTTTTTGTTCATATGGGTAACAGTTTGCATCAGAAAGGAACAATGGTTATGAGACTTTTTGTTTTCTTTTGTTCATCTGGGTTTTTGGGATGTTTGAATTAGGGTTTGTTTATTATGCCCACAATGATAAACAAGTTCAAGCTGCAGTTTTGGATGCAATGTTTGAATCATTAGTTTCTTATGCCACAATGATATTATATAATTGTTGAAATACATATTTTTATTCTTGTACGCCACAAATTATCTTCTTGGTGTTGATTTCTTGAAATATAACACATTTTGAACCCATCATCAACATTAGTTGGACACATTTCCGTCAACTTCTGATTTCCTTTAGTAACAACAATGTTTTTTTTTTTTGTCTGTGTGTGTAAATTCACTTCTCTTTTTAACGTTTTTGATCATACGCAAATAAAGTAAGAATTACTCAAATTCACATGTTATTGCTCAAGAATTGTTTGAAAAACCGTGTGCAATAAGCATTTACACATGAATTGTTTGAAAAACCCATGTTGTCCTCTACAATTCGTCCCTGCATATTCTTTTTGATTTCTTCATTGTTGAATACAAAGGTACGTTTCACTTTCTTTCCCTACATGTTGATTTTTGCCAACCGTTCAAGAACATGTTTTTGAATTTAATCTTCAAGTTTATTCAAGCACCGTTCATTTCTCTTTCTTTGTAATTTATTTTAACATCATTGAACTCTATAAAATTGGTTTTTCTTTCACGGATTTTGTTTTGATGTTTGTGGTTTATGTTTTGCTACTATTTCGGTAGGAAACTCTATGTGCTGTGTTTGGGTAGGATGTTTTGTAATTTGTATTCCTCATTCGTTTGGTTGGATCTTGTCACAAAATAATATAGTTTACTTTTTCCTAACTATATATACACTTTGGAGAAGCAACTTGCATTTTCCTAACAATATATACACTTGAACTCACCTTCAATAACACATACGAGGCATCACATACGAATCATGCAATTTTGACATGCAATTCCCTGAACAGACTCTTGGTTTATAATCTAGCATGGAAAGCAATTCATAGCATATTGAGAATTTTCTACTTCCTGAGCTCCGATTAACTGTACTCATCACATCCTCTAATTAGTATAAAGTCCCTTTACAAAATCGTTTTCTTGAATAAAAGCATTCTTTTTTCAAAAGTTTATTTAGAAAATCTCTCAGTTCTTAGTTTGTGTTCAAACACACCGTAAGGCGTATCCGAATCCCTCAAACCAAAGCTCAGATACCAACTTGTAACGTCCCAAAAATTACAAAGAGATTTTTCAATTTAAAATAAACTAACTAATTAAAACCTTATACTTTGAAATCATTAAACGATATTTATTTGCTGAAAACCATGTTGTTAACAGAGTTAAATACAATACTACGGAAACAAATATCTTCGATGTGTGTGTAGAGTCCCGTTGAGCTATCCTCACGAACAACCTGCAAAAACATTTAATCCACAACTGTAAGCATAAAACTTAGTAAGTTCCCCAGTATACCACATAATCCACCATACATACAATGCATCTACATAAAGCCTCGACTCTAACGCCTAACAACCAAAACACCTATCCATATACCATATCTAACGGGCCATGCCTAAACGTGCCTAACGGGTCACACCCAACAGGCCTCGCCCAACCTACATAGCGGGTCTCACCCAAATTTATTTGCCCAACATCCATAGCAGGCCTCACCTAACATACATATCGGCCCAACCCAATTGTAATTGACAGGGGAAGTATCTTGGTCCTCCATTCAAGATATAAAGTCCTAAGTAATTAGATGTTGGATAGACAGTTGAACAGATGATCAACCCGAAAGCAAACAATTAGACAAGAACATTGCAATAAGGCTTTAGACCAAGAGTTCTCAGGCTATCTAACTTAATCACATATAACTATTACTCTTATCCTAATCATTCATGACACCTAACAATATCATACAATCAACATGAAAGGATCCACCACTCTATCATACCGTGATACAAAGCGCCCCAAACTGCACATACATAACAAGTAGTGGTCCTAGTCCACTAGCATACCCATACTTTCCTAATACCACTATCCTAACATACAAAGGATATACAATATCATACGTAGCGTAGTGAGAGAACTTACCTGAACTGAATAATCGGAGAAGCACACCAATACTCTCACTCTTCTCCCTGATTATTGCCACGAACAGTCTAACACCAATAACGGTCATTCCATAATCAGCAACCCAAATCCTCCAAGTTTGACCCAATTTTGGTCAAACTGGTCAAAATTCAGTGGTTAAAGGTCCACAAAGGTCAACGATCAACCTAGTCAAAGTCAATGCCATGTCGTGGGCCTTACTTGGGCACGTCATGGGAACGCAACGGTAAAACAGTCAAAATGAATGATATCGCCACATCGTGGACCCTCATTGGCCACGTTATGGGACTGCAAGGACAGAATAGTCGCGAATCAAAACTTCACCATGACGTGGCTATCCATTGGGCATGTTGTGGTCACTAGCAGAATGCCATTTCTCTCATTAAGATCTTAATCCTTACATCTCAAGGCTCATACTTCCAAATCTACTTCTTCTCAGTGACTTAATGTGACATTCCCATTTTCACGGCCAGAAAAGATTGATTTTTGTTTATGCTTTATGAAAATCAGAGTATCTCTTTTAATAAAAATGTTGCGGAATTTGTTCCTAGTAAAACATGATAAAAACGTTATCAAAGCATTTCCGAAGAAAAGTATTTCTATTCATTTTAAAACATTGGGATGTCATCGTCAATACAGAAACATAAGCATAAACAAAACTTACATTCATTTACACTAGTGATTTATATCTTCTTAATCTCTCAGTGTAATGTAACTTCATATCGAAACCTGTGATATAAATAAACTGAGTGGGTCAGGTTGGGAAACCTGGTGAGTACATAGGGGTTTCAACCCACAATAATATAATTATTATGTTTAAATAATCAAGCAATTAAACCCAATTACCCATCCCCATTATCTTCTTTACTCTTATGCCTCGTTCCCGAGTTTAGCAAAAGAAAAGAAAGTCATGAGAGAAAAGAAGAGAAAGGAAAAGAAAACAAAATTTTCTTTTGTGTTCCCGAGTTGGAGGGAAATGGAAGGAAAATGAATCATTTTGTTCTTTCTTTCCAAATCCTCCCAAATCGGAAGGAAAGTTAGGAGGGAAAGTGATTCTCCCATTTCCCTCCAGTTCCTTCCACTTACCTCCTTTAGTGAAACTCGGGAACACCAATTTCTTTTATTTTCTTCTCATTTCCACCCATTTCCTTTCCTTTCTCTCATTAAGTTGAACTCGGGAATGGGGTGTTAAGGATCTACCCTAAGAATCAACTATTTCTTGTTCATTCATTCCTAAGGGTTATCCTAAGGAATAGGTACGAATTCCATCGTTGTCAATGACACATCTGTCAAGCACAGCTGTTAGTTCTGTCACTTAGGCGCAGCTGCCAAAATTGTGACATTCTCTACGAGGCGCATCTGCCAATATTGTCCTTTGGGCGCAGCTGCCAGGTTTATCTCATTTCTCTACAGGTTGCGAGCCTGCTAGTGTTCCATTGGACTATCTAGAATAGTCTGTGGTTGTCATCCATACTTTGCTGAATGACGGGGCCATCATTTGGGAAAAAGGCTTCTCACATCGTCCACCTCTCACGCTCACCTCATGGTCTATATCAACCATCATCTCATCATTCAACTCATATTTCATCTACCCATGTTTTACCCAACATATTGTAGATATAAAATACTTATACAGTTTAAATCATTTAAAACATGTATAAAAATCTTTCACTAGCATAGACAACAAGTATACAGATAATATGCACACATAGCATGTAATTTATAATTAATACTTCATATCTATGTGTAAGATGAAAGGAACTATGCACTCACTTGAAAAGGTGGTGACTGGATACTCAGACAACACTTCGTTATCTCAAAATAATTTCCTTCGACCAAACCTAGTATCCTTACCACTAGGGTTTAGTTTAATATTCACCGAGACTAATTAATAGTCTAGCTATTATTACTATTATATAAGCGTTAAACAATACTTATATAACCCATAATAATAGCCCAAGTACTTATTATAAGGTCCTAATAACATTACTATATTAAAACATAAGCTATACTAAAGATAGGTTAGACGTAGCTCACTTACTGCGGGTTTTCTCGAAAACCGGGCTTCGTTGGAGCAACGTTCCTGAGCCGAAAGGCTCTTTTCTCGGGACTCCAGGAGCCTCGGGGCTTCCTTCGGGTGCTAGGGATGTTTCCTAGGCTTTTTATGAGGTTTGGGGGGGGGGGGGGCAGTTTAAAGAGAGAGTTTAGAGAGAGAAAGAAGTGGGGAAAGGTGTAGGAAATGGAGGAACCCGACACCTCTATTTATAGGGTGAAATCCTGACAGAATCGCGGAGTCGGTTCACGGACTCGCTGAGTCGGTGCCACATGTCATCACCAGATGGCTTTTCTTGGGGAGAAAGCCTTGGCCCATATTCAGCCACGTCACCCCTTTTCGACTTCTAAACCCCGTAACTTTCGCATATGAGCTCTGTTTTTGACGTTATTTTTTTCCACGCATAGGTAAAAACAAGATCTACAACTTTCATTTAGACTCTGTCAGCTAATTCTCGACCAATATTAAATTTAACCGTAGGAGGAGATTAGACTGTTAAATGACCACAGAGAATTCGTAACTCCTTCATACGGACTCCATTTTCGTTTGTCTTTTTACCGTTGAGTTCCTATTAATGATATCTTCAACTCTCCTTTAGGTCGTGTAGTCCAAAAACCGCTTGAAATAAAATTCGAGTTTCGGGCCGTGCACTGCTAAGCTGAAACTTCGAAAAATCATAACTTCCTCATACGAAGTCAGATTTGGACGTTCTTTTTATGGATGTTCTTGGTTTAATGTATAATAAAACTTTAGTTTAGATCACTAAGGCTAAAAGTCCTCTATCGTAATTTCACTATTTACATCTCCCGATGTCGTGCCGGTTTTGCCGTAAAACTTCGACGGGCCATAACTTCTTCGTTATAACTCGAATTTCGGCGTTCTTTATATGTATGGAACCCTTGAGACATATTCTACAACTTGGTTAAGATTATTTATTCTAAATAATATTTTGTCTAAAAGTCGTTTTCGACCCCTATTATCTCTAAATTGACTAGCCCGGATCTACGGGCGTTACAATTATCTCCCTCTTAGGATGATTGCGTCCCGAAATTATCAACGAAACAGGGATGTATAATGACTCCG